CGTGATTTATTAATTTGTTTTCTTTTTGGCTTATTTATTTAACTACTGAAATACCAACAAATATTTACAGTACAAATAAAACAGAATACAGTCTCTACAAACTATAGTTCATTTTTAAACAATAAGGGAATTATGAATCAAGTTTAGGCAGCCTATATAACAAACGCATGAGAAGTAAGGGGAAAGCATGAGGGCACATAAAAAGGAAATAAATATCCACGAATAGGTTTATTTTGGATAATATAAGGATTTTTAAAAACGCACTTTAATCCAAAGAGATTGAACAAAAGAACCAATATAAAGAGTAGAAGAGTACAAATTTCCCAAAAAGAGCAGGTACATCAATGTCACTTTTAAAATTTCGGGTTGACAGGAAATAAAATATTTTATAATCGTATATTTTTATATTTGATCAAATATTTTTTTTTACTTAATTTTTTAAGAAATCTTTTATAATGGTGTCAGGATCAATGGTGATAATTATTTTATTTCAAGTCTGAAAGTCTTAGTAATTATTTGGTTTATTCACAAAAAAATTATAATTTAAATCAGGCGACGTAGTGACGCAGTAGGTAGTGCTGTCGCCTCACGCAAGAAGGTCGCTGGGTCGCTGGTTCGAGTCTTGGCTCATCTGCTGTATCTGTGTGGAGTTTGCATGTTCTCCCTGCCTTCGCGTGGGTTTGCTCCGAGCGCTCCAGTTTCCCCCAAAGTCCAAAGACATGCAGTACAGCTGAACTGAGTAGGGTAAATTGTCTGTAGTGTATGAGTGTGTGTGTGAATGTGTGTGGATGTTTCCCAGAGATGGGATGTGGCTGGAAGGGCATCCGCTGTGTAAAAACGTGCTTGATAAGTTAACGGTTCATTCCGCTGTGGCGAACCCGGATTAATAAAGGGACTAAGCCGACAAGAAAATGAATGAATCAATAATTTAAATAATGTATGGAGCTGAATACAGTAAATAGTCTGCATAAAAAGGTTGAATAAACCTGCGCAAACAATATAGTCTTTATGAAGAAATTATTTAACTAAATATGATACTGCAGTAAAATATTTGTATTCTTTTAATAAGCATGATGTGTTCAAGATAGAGATGGTATAAAAAGTAAATTGTTTGTTTTGAGACTGAAGTTGTCCAATAATAAAGCTGAAACACACGTGGTTGTTGTCATGCGGTGAACTCAGCCTATCGTGTAATATCCGTGTCATCATTGCAGGTCCTGCATTCGCTCTTCAGATGCTGCACTGGCTGAATCAATCGTCTGATCTCGGAGCGCTGTCGTGGTACTTTGATGCCACATGTGACAGTCACGTGGCGTCTGAGCAGCATCAATCCGGACAAAATTTCTTACCAGCGCGCATTGCTTTAAGACAAATTTTGATCATATCTGACCAGCAGAATATTTCTACTATTAGATACAGACAAAGTCCAGCAGCCTTATTAATACCCAAAGCTTTCATCTGAACTAACTGGAACAAACAGCTTGCTTTAGAACACTGCTGTTTTTTTCTTAGAAATCAAAGCCAAAAACTAAAGGCACATCTTGCTTTCATGACCAATAAATCTGGAAGAAGCGAGTGCAGTTTGCACTAGAGGGCCCTGCACAGATTTAGAGCTTTTATTTTTGGGCTGTATTAAAAAAAAAAAAACACCCTGAAGCTTCACTATCGATCTGTGTGCACATAACTGTCCCTGTGCTAAAACTCCCTTCACAATCAGGGATCAGAAACTTTATAGCAGCTCACAGTTAGAAGAGTCACCTCTATAAACACAAAGAGCTGCTCCAGCCATTAAGAGCCTTGTTCAAAAAGCTCAGGCTAAATTTCAGCTCAAGCCTTTGCTGTTTGGAGAACGAAACCCACTAAGCTGCCCTGATCCACAATAAACTGTTTTGAATGCTTCAGACAAGGTGGGTGGATTGAGAAAGATCAAGAGCGATCTGTGAATAAATGAATGCAGACATGTGTTTTACTCATTATCCCAGTTTTTCTCATTTCTCTAAAAGAACTCTGTGTTTTAATGTCTTCCAGTTTTGGCTTTAATGTTTCAAAGGCATGTCTACAATTTTCAAACAGTCGGAAAGAGAAAAAATGCTTTTATATTGACTTGATAATGAGATGATGTGAAACTGAGACTGAAGATCTCTGTGAGAATTTAAATCTTTTTGACAGCCTAGCAAATAGTCATCATGTTGACAGAGCAGTTACTGTATGTTCTCTATATACTGTATATACATACTGGGAGGCATGCATTGGCTCGAGTGCCTTAGTGCCCCAGCAGTCCTGATACACAGCCATATCGGCTACGGTGTGATATTTTGTTTAGACAACAGTTCGACAGCATAATCGTGTAAATAAAAAAGAGAGTTTCAAAAATGTATTTGAATGATTCTTTAGCGTAATGTCTAAAGTGATAAAAAAACTAATGATTTTTCTTACAATTTAAGAATATAAGGCTAAACAACTACATAATAAACAAATCTTAACAACTACATTCTTGCCTAAAAAGCCTCAAAAGTACACTATGTTGTCCAACAGCTGCAATATTTGTCAAACTGTAGTGGGTTTATTCCATACCTGTCAAAAATGATAAAAACATTTCCTAAAATTACTATATCTGTTTATCTGGAGCTGTTTCATCGTTTCATCCACAGTTGAAACTGTCAGTAATAGGTTTATCATTATTGTTATTATTATTATTTTTTATACAAAGGATAGAATAAATAGTATACATTAGAAAAAAGGTGCGAATAAATTAGCAAACAGTTTAGCCATATTCAATATAATAGCTATTATAAAGAAATTGAATCAAGTTATTAGATCTCATTAATCTTCCTTCACTGTTTAATTTAAACATTCTGATTAAAGAGGAGCGAATTAATCTCTCTTTTATATTTTTCATTTGATTACATTAAATAACAGAGGTGTCACTTTAAATTGAAAGGTATTTAATTGCTTTCCTAACTTTTTATGCTCATTTAAGACTGATTAAAAAATAAAAAATAAAAATATTTGTGTTTAAAAGAAAACCCACCAAAATTGACATGTTTAGATGATATTATCATTATTATTATTATTATTATTATTATTATTATTATTATTATTATTATGTGTATAGGTCTGTTCAAGCACGTGCCCAAAACCCAGACTGTCTACTTTCGCTGCGCTTCGAATCGCCTGTACAGATTATGTGGGAAACAGAGTTTATTTATTACTATAAATCACGTTTGCTACATGAACTAACTGTTTTAAGGATTGCATAGGAGAGGCAACGGCTCATGTAAAGGAAAGAAAGTGAATCTCTTCATATGTATATTTATTTCAAAGTATTTTCATGCCTAAATAAAATAAAAGCACAGAACATAGTCACGTTTATGAGCAATGGGCGTCCACTGGTGATTAGGTGGTATGGTTTGCGAATAGGGTGAATCTAATATTATTGCCACCTTTCATAGAAAGATTGAAAATACAGGAGAAATATGGGAAAATACCTTTAAGGGATAATAGCGGAATAGAATTGTGAAATAAGGGAGAATCCCAGGAAAAATGGGAGGGTTGACGGGTATGGTTTATTCCCATGCTTTGCACTCTGTGTGGTTGGAGTAATACAAAAGCGTGAAGAGGCTGTATGAGTACAATTATTGCAGAATATACACATAGTGGACAATGAAACTGAAACACTGGCCAATTTAGTGTTGGAGGTTTCATGTTTAAATTTCACCAGCCTGGTGACCAATCTTCCTTGATTGCACATTCCACCAGTAAGAGCAGAGTGTGATGGATTATTAAGCAAAGCAATGGCACATATCAAAGTTTAAAACAGGAAAAATTATAGGTACGGGTCAAGAGCCACAGTATCGGTATCCAGATTAATGTCAGATACCTCCAAGAATGATGAACCTCATCCAATAGAGGTAACTATGGACGCAAGAAGAAGAAGTCTGAAATGGATGTCCAGGTGCTAACCAATCAAAAAAAAAAAAAAAAAAAAAAAAAAAAAACAAAGCTGCTCAACTCACTGCAGAATTAAATGTGCACCTAAACTCTCTTGTTTCAACCGAAAATAGTTTTCCGGGAGCTCCACATGGTCAATATGCATGGCCAGGCTGCTAAAGCCGAACTTTTGGTCACTCATGCCAATGCCAAACATTAGTTTCAATAGTGTCAGCAGTGAAACTGGGTTGTGGACAATGTGAAACATCTATTGTTCTCTAATGAGTCCACCTTCACTGTTTTTATCAAATGTGGGTGTAGAGAAGCCCTAAAATAATCGTACCACCCAAGGCTGTTGCATGCCCAGAGTGAAGAATGAGGGTGGATCAGTGATGGTTTGGGGTACAATGTCATGGCATTTCCTACATATTTAATTGTGACTTTCTGATTTTTAAAAACTCATATATACTGGGTTAGGCTAGGTATGTTTCCCTGCAAAAAAATAAAATAAAATAAATAAATAATAATTGAGTAAAAAATTGTGCATTACTTATCATTATGAGTTATATAAAAACCTGGCCTTCATGTAATTCCATTAAAAATAATAGTAAAATAATAATAATAAAATAATCTTTTTTCACTTTAAACATGGTGCTCAAGGTGCAAAATGCAAAACAATTATTGCTAAAATTGTAAAAATCTGTCCTGGCCTTTTGTGTAAACTCCAATATGTCCAGCAGCCAAGAAGTTACTTTTTTTTTTTTTATTGTAATGATTTATTTGATCATTGATAATATATGTAATATTTATAATGACAATATTTAAAAGAAATGTTTAAAATAACATTAGAAGTGTAGTTAGAAACAAAAGCTAATATTACTAGTACATTTAATTAATAGTGAGATACAGTACATATGGCATAGCATCAGGACATTACACGTCACATTCATACAGTAGCATAACACATGCTCATGCAATAACCGACTGTGGTGAAATGACTGACAACAGGTGTTTCTGTGTAAATGAGTGTCATTCAGAGTCCAATGTGTTCTCATGTTTTTTTATTGCAGTGCACGTGAAAGCTGGCACATGTGAGGTGATTGCAGCCCATCGCTGCTGTAACAGAAATAAGATTGAGGAGCGATCGCAGACGGTCAAGTGTTCCTGCTTCCCCGGACAAGTGGCTGGAACGACGAGAGCTGCACCCTCCTGTGTGGACGGTAAAACCTGCACTTCTGCTCAGATAAATAGTGACTTTATTTGTCCAGTGTGTTTATGCCATTTAGTAAAAAAGGATAGATTTTTAAGATATAATTATTAATATATGCTAAATACAGTTGACACATTTCTAAATATAATAGTTTTAATAACCCATTTCTAATAACTGATTTATTTTATCTTTGCCACGATGACAGTACATAATATTTTGCTAGATATATTCAAGACATTTAAAGGCTTAACTAGGTTTATTAGGTTGACTAGGCATGCAGGTTAGGGTAATTCTGCAGACAGTCAGAAAAAAAATAGCTTAAAGGGGCTAATAATTTTGACTTTAAAATAGCTTAAAAATTGAACAATGCTTTTATTCTAGTTAAAATAAAACAAATAAGACTTTCTCTAGAAGAAAAAAAAACATTATCAGACACACTGTGAAAACTTCCGTGCTCTGTTAAACATCATTTTGGAAATATTTAAAAAAGAAAAATAAATTCAAAGGGGGGCTAATAGTTCTGTCATCAACTGTATATTTTCTAACTGCGAGGCCTATTAAAGTATATTTTTCAAATCACAAATATATTTTGTTAAATTTCAAATTTCATATACAAAAATAAAATATTAAATGTATTTCAGGGTCAATATTTTAGTCTTAAAGTAGACTGGATGGTATTAAAATATTTTATTTATTTATTTATTTATTTATTTATTTAAATATTTAAATATATTTAAAATATGTTCCTTACATTAGATGATTTAGCCATCAAATAAGGATTTTCTTTAAATTTTGCATGTCAGTTGTATTTATTTATTTTCTACAAAATAATTATACAATATATTTTATGTGCTTTTAAATATATTTTTAAATTAATTTACAAAATATGTGAAGTATATGTTTACCACTTGAGATATGATTAATATATGTTAATGGATTCATTTAAATGGCACCTATTTTACCCCTTTTACAAGATGTAAGAGAAGCCTTTGGTGCCTCCAGAATGTGTCTGTAAAATTTCAGCTCAAAATACCCATCAGATTATTTATTATAGCTTCCAGAATCTGCCCATTTTGGTGTGTGAGTACAGTGTAGCTGTTTGTGTAGCCTTTGGCTTTAAATGCAAATGATCTGCTCCTCCCTGCCCACCATTACCATTTTACGTGTCTGCTTTTACTGCGTTACATCAGATAAACAGCAATCTGTGATAGTGACAGACTCAGATGAAGTTGAAATAAGCTCATTAGTCAAGAATACCAAGTAAGTTTATTTCATGTATTTGTAGTCTAATTTATTCAAGCCTTTCTGAAATGATGAGTCTCACACAAATGCAGTTTGCTCTATACACACACACACATATATTAACGTTTATTGAAATCATGCGGCTGTGGTGATTATAGCGATTAAGATTTATACAATGATTTTATTACAAACATGCACTAATTTAAAAACATTTTAGACTTACAAAACTTGTATAAATGACTCAGAGTTGGAACAGATATTTTAATCACAGTTTCTTTGCAAAAACAAAATGTTCTATGGACATGTGTAGTATACATGTTATTATACAAACTTGGCACCTGTCAATTAATTTGGTGAGCGTGCAAACTGCACTGCATGTCATGTTGCGGTGGGCCTCAAAATTACTGGGATTTGGATCCTATTTTAACATCATTTTTAAAAGAGTCTTGTTGGGTTTATATTACTGCAATATGACAGTGGACACACTATACCTACACACAGGTCTGTCCAAACAGCTTACAAAAGTTGACTTTGATCATAGGTGCCCTTTGAATATTCATTGCACAGCACTATTTCGGTCCATTTAATATAAATTGCTGGAACTGTTTGCTTCTGTTTGCTTCTTGTATGTTTGAGGAAAAGCGTTTAATGTGAAATTATGCCCTGCATCTTTCACCCCTCTCCCTCTTTCCCCCCTGTCATTTGGTCTCTTTGTCTCCCTCAGCTGTCTGGCTGTTTCATTTAATATTGTGTCAACACTGTCCACTTGACAGAGAAATCGATCGTTATCTTATTTTGCCTGACTGTAAGCTTAGGAAAAAATAGCTCAAGTGTCTCTACACGCAGCGCTCTGCGTGAGAGGAAATGTCAGAAAAGCCATGTTTCACCCCATCGCATGCTTTACTCGTTCTCTTCGTATCATTTCAAATAGCTTTTCATCTGTTTGCTGTTTTCTCACCCCTGAGCTAATCCACAATCTTTTAAATTTAAAGGGGTCATATTTTATTTTAATTCTTTCCCTGGAGTCCACTTATGTTTTAGTCAAGGTACTAAAACAGTCCTAATTCATGAGGCTTAATTTTTTTATTTGAATTAATCACATTAATTATAATTAATTGCAGATGACTTTGGTTGTTATGTCAAGCCTTGCATCATATTTTCAAGAAAAGTCGTAACACTCATTGGGTGCATATGCAAAACCTCTGGGCAGCTATATAATTCAAGCACTATACAGTAGGAAAATCCTGCAGTCTTTAAAACTGCTTGCCACACTCACCTTATAATAAAAGAATTCAAAGCAGCAGCAATATTTAACTAGTATAAATGTTATTTCTTTATATACAAATAGTGGTGACGAAAGGAGAAATCAAAATCTGCTTGATCCTGTTTTACAAATGGAGTATGATAATGGAGTTGAAGATCCACATGCAGCTTTATTATTAAAATGCATAACAAACGGATAATCAAAAAAAAAAAAAAAAGAAAAAAGACAAAAGAAAAATTCAGGAAAAATACAAAAGGGTAATCCAAGAAACAGGCTCAAGGTCAGGTCAGGCAGCAAACAACCATGAACCAAATAACTAATGCTGTGCAATATTGAGAAAAAAAATTTTGTTAGCATGCTAAGCAATGAGATATTCAATATGCGATACAATATTCAAAAAAAAAAACTGACACCCAATGGCTCAGAAGAAAACTAGACAATGTATAGTGGCAAGATTTGGGAAAACACACTGCACATCTTTGCAATGGTCTCCTTTAAATAACAACATTAGAAAAGAGTAGATAAACGTATCTATCTAGGGAGGTGTATAGGCCATTATAAGGCCAGTTCTGTTATGCAGGATGTATTTTTTTATGTACACTACCTAACTAAAGTCTTGTTGCCTATCCAAGTTTTAAGAACAATAAATAATAACTTGACTTCTAGTTGACCATTTGGTATTAGAAGTGGCTTATTTAAGAGGAAAAGGCCACTTGATTACACTTATTTTACCAAAAGTAAATATGATTATGCCTTGATTTTAATTATTTAAATAGGACAGTATGGCTTTGCTTAGACAAAAGTCTTGTCATTTAACAGAAATAATGTACATTATAGAATACAATGTTATGGTCCAGTGAAAAAAGAATGAATATTGTGTATGACTCCCATGAGCTAGGAGGACTGCATCCATACATCTCTGCAATGACTCAAATAACTTATTAAAGTAATCATCTGGAATGGCAAAAAAAGTTCTTGCAGGACATCAAGATTCTTTGGAGTCATTTTCAATGCCTCCTTCTTCATCTTATCCCAGACATGCTTAATGATGTTCATGTCTGGTGACTGGGCTGGCCAATCCTGGAGCACCTTGACCTTCTTTGCTTTTTAGGAACTTTGAGGTGGAGGCTAAAGTATGAGAAGGAGTGCTATCATGCTAAAGAATGTGCCCTCTCCTGTGGTTTGTAATGTAATGGGCAGCACAAATGTCTTGATACCTCAGGCTGTTGATGTTGCCATCCACTCTGCAGATCTCTCACACACCCCATACTGAATTTAACCCCAAATGATGATTTGTACTTCACCAAACTTGACTGTGTTCTGTGAAAATCTGGGGTCCATGCGGGTTCCAAGAGAACGTCTGCAGTATTTGTAATGATTGGGATTCAGAGCAACAGATGATTCATCGGAAAAATCGACCCACTGACATTTTTCCAAATGATCAACTAGAAGTCAAGTTATTTGTTACTCTTACAACTGGGATCAACGGCAAGGCTTTTGTCAGGTAGTATATTGTAAGGTTGGTCTTTTAAAGATCAATAAGTCTTAAATCTTTCCTTCTCTTCTACTGTGCATTTATAAGTATGTACAAAAATAAAGTGAATTGGGATGTAGCAAATGACTTTAGCAACTGACAATTGTTCAGACGTTCACCACCATACTAAATGTTGCTCTTTCTAAGCCTTGATAATGTAAAATCAACATAATTGGATATTTAATGACAAGTGAAAGCAGTTCATTTAAAAAAACATTCATATCAAGACCGCTGCATTCAGCTGCACTCCGTATAGCTGTTTTTGGAAACAAGCAAATGTCTTTTATATGTACACATTATGTACTTACAGCTCTCTGCAAATGGAGTTTGATGAAGCTTGTTGCCTATAGCAGGCTACTGTACATGTGAGGCAACATGATTAAAGCATTAAATATTCTATAATTAAGTGCTCTAAATTAGCATGTTAATCGACAGCCCTAGCAATTTAGTTTTTAATGTCAATGTTCCACCCTTTTTAACCATCAGAAATTACTTGGCTGCTTTTACGGTGACCTCTAAAGAACCATTATTATGTTTGGCTAATGTGTCTCTTTTCAAAGTCTGCACTACATTGTGACCAGTGCACAAAACAGTCTAAGCCGACATATTTCTTGATCCGTGCATTTCAAAAGGTGGCATTCAGAAAATGCAGAGTTAGGTACTGCGCCAATCCAGATACAACACACACAATTTCTCACACCAACATTTCACTCTACTATATTTCTTAGAAGTCAGAGTTTCTGTATGTACTAACCTTAGTGATCCTGTCTGTGTTCCCTGTGTTATGAATGTAGCATCTATAGTAGCTCAGAAGTGGTGGTGTCAAATGCAGCCATGTGTCGATGGTGAGGAGTGTAAAGTCCTGCCCGACCTCACAGGCTGGAGCTGCAGCACGGGCAACAAGGTGAAGACAACCAAGGTTAGTATACACACACACACACACACACACACACACACACACACACACACACACACACACACACACACACACACACACACACACACACACACACACACACACACACACACACACTCACACACACACTCACACACACCACTCTAAGTGAATTGTCCTCTTGGCATGTAGGTGACGTGACATTGAAGGCTGACATGGTCTTTGAAACTCCCGTTTCTAAAAGATTATACACAAAAAAAGCATACTAAAGGATACATTTTAGTTTATTATTTAATTAAATGTATTTTTTATTAATGTAATTAAATTAATGGTTTTGGTTGTTTTAGTTTAATTTTAATTTTGTGAAAAGATTTTTCCTTAGTTTTTTTATGTTTAGTTTCAGTTTTAGTTTAGTAATTCCTGTTTAACAGAACAGATCCTGCTTGTCGACCAGCTTGTACAGCTTAAACTAAGCCTCATGCAAAAATCTAATAACTGTTTAAACAAACACTGAGTACAAAATTATGCAACTGCAAAAAATAAAAGTTAAAAATTTTAACTAAATAAATAAGTCATGTATGAATAATTCAGAAAACATGTATTATATACGTATATATTGACCATATTTGAATCGGTTGTATGGAGTCAGAAAAGACTCAAAAGTAATTCATGCAAAAGACACAATGTGCACATGCAAAGCCAAATTCACGTGCATAAAATCAAATTCACTTGCGTAAAATATTTATTTATATTCACAATATTACAATATTAAAAATTATATTGTAATATTCATTATTGCTTATAAATTCTGAAAGCAGTTACTGGTAACTATTTAATTTCAGTTACTTTATTAGTAATTGTTGTTATTTTGTGATTTTTTTTTCAGTTAATGAAAACATTTTTGGAACTAGATTTTTAGACTTAAAGTTTTAATGTACTAAAATTACTTTGCAAAAACCACACGTTCCAAATGTGTTCCATGTGCTTCACGTATGTTAAGCTCATGTTACGTTCAGCTGGTTTCCTTATAGGCTATGTGTTAGTTGAAACATCTAATATTAAGCAGACTGAGTATTGTGCTGACACTTTAGATTATTGTCCAGAGTTAATGTTAGTTAATATATTTACTAACAATAATTAAGTTTCAGTAATCTAGTACAGCATTTAATAATCAAAATTCAACATTAACCAATGCAGGGGTTCTCAACCGGTGGGCTGCGGCCCACTAGTGGCTCTTAGTGATCCTGCAGGTGATTCTGCAGGCTTAAAATTAACTCTCAATATTATGCTATAATTTTTGGATTTCATTGATAATATGCTATATTAAAATGATCAAAGTAATGCATTCCTGTTTTGTGTTTAAATGCTATAAACTCAGTGCAAAAACAGCCTCATGATCGCGTCTGCAACTAGTACACGATAAGACTGTTTATTCACAAACTATGCGTAAAATAAAACTTTTCGTTTTAGTTTTGTATGAAATTAAATACTTTTTTTTTTTATAAAATGCTGACAATAGAAAATAATAGAAGGCACAACAACCATTTATACAAACACTTTAGAGGAACTGTCAGACAAGTGGGCCTTCAAAAATTTATCAGAGAAAGTGGTTGAGAAACCTAGAACTAATACATTATTTAAATAAACTTTGGGTTGTTACCATTAGTTAATGCAACATACGTTCATATGAGCTAACATAACATGGGCAATTTACCTTAAATAACATTACCTAAAATTAACAAAGATGAGTATATACCATAATAAATGTATTACTAATAGTTAGTTCATGTTAGTAAATACATTAACATTAACTAAGGAATCATTATTTTAAAGTGTTACCAGTATATTTAATATTTCTGCATATACATATTTTACAATTTTGCTCATCGTCTTTAAATTTCCCCACCACCACTGGGCTTATTACAATGTTTTTGCATTGATTGCCAGATGTGAAAGATGTATGCGATGCTACCATAGAATGTGAGTCACAGAAGGCTGTCAGTGTTTAAAATACTAGGTAGACAGTTGACTAGATTTTGAAAACAAAGCCTTCCTCTCTTTTTCTCTCAGTGACCTAATTCTTCTTGTTGTGAACATGCTCCGTACCATACCTTAGGAGTTCATGTGGAGAGAGCCTGAAGTTTGTTGGAACTGACATCAAACACAGAAGCAGCCTGATTTAGGAAAGAGAAAAACAAAACAGAGAAACAGAGACGGCCCCTTTTTATCCTGCCAATAAAGCTTCTTGAATCTTGACAAAGAGAGACAGAGAAAGAGAGAGAGAAGCACGGCAACAAACAGAGAACCACTTATGTTATGAATGACAGATGCGAAGTGACTGACTGAGAGTGTTTTCAACAAAAAAAAAAGTCAAAGGCAGAAAACGGCAGTAAAAAAAAAATGAACTGACCAGAAGTCTTGATGTCAACATTTATGATTTCTAGTCTCTTGAGTGCGGGGTAAAACGAACTTATGCCAAGCGGGTTTTTTTAGAACAAGAAATACAGATGGGTTGAAGATATAAAGCAAGTTCAAGCATGAAGACTGAATAGTTAATCAGTTTATACATTGGATTGTTTCATCTATAATTGATTGATTGATTGATTGATTGATTGATTGATTAGTTGGTTGGTCGGTTGGTTGGTTGGTTGGTTGGTTGGTTGATTGATTGATTGATTGATTGATTGATTGATTGGTTAAGTGGTTGGTTGGTTAGTTGATGGATTGATTGATTGGCTGATTGATTGGCTGATTGATTGGCTGATTTATTGATTGATTGATTGATTGATTGATTTGATTGATTGATTGATTGATTGATTGATTGATTGATTGATTGATTGATTGATTGATTGATTGATTGATTGATTGTCGGTCGGTCGGTCGCTCGTTCGGTCGGTCGGTCGGTCGGTCGGTCGGTCGGTCGGTCGGTCGGTCGGTCGGTCGGTCGGTCGCTCGGTTGGTTGGTTGGTTGGTTGACTGACTGACTGACTGACTGGTTGCTTGCTTGCTTGCTTGTTTGGTTGGTTGGTTGGTTGGTTGGTTGACTGGTTAATTGCTTGCTTGCTTGGTTGACTGATCTGCTTAATCAAATAATTGTCATTAGTCTTTTAACTAATTATTTTTATTTACATTATACGAGTTCCAAAACTGCACAAATGTTAAAATGATCATAGCGATATAATAATGGAACAATGACTGAAATGGAAAACCCTAAACTGTTTACAGTCACGGACGGTCTTGATCCCCATATTTGTAAAATACAGTATGCTGCTATAATGCTATTAAGGAGTTAGCCGTCGTTAAATGAGATAAAATAGAAGAAGACTGATAGGTCATTATCATATATCACACTATAGGGTTCAACCCTGCCTAGATTGTGTGTTCTGGATTGTGCATAAACGTGTGGGTCTGTCTGCAGCTGGATATATCTCCAAGATCATGGTGAAACTCCAAAATACTAATTGATTGTCATTTTAAATCTTTAAACTTACCAATAATTTTACCCTTTTGTGAGCAATATGATTTGAATAATTTGAAATATAAAGGTTTGCTTCATCATTGGTTCTATTAATTATTTGAATGCATTAATTTACTCAGATCTTAAAGTTTACATGCAAAATAGAATGTCACATCATATATATTATTTTTACTGGCCTTAAATATGGACTATCCATTTTAGCCATTTAATGCATTACCAGTATTTCTTCTCAGTTCATCCATTTAACTCAATTCTGTGTGACAGAATGTTAATTTTAGACTCTGCTGGAGAGAAAGTATCCAAGACTGGCTATCAAATTATATTCACAGCTATCAATTTCATTACTACTGTATTAGAGTAACATTAACTGCTAGAATATGTATTTTCCATACACTGCAGTTATACATATACGTATATTAAAACTTTTCCAATTAAAAGTTTTGACATAAATTCTCTGGGCCTGGACAATCTGGCTTTGGCTGTTTTACTGTTCACAACACATGAAGACCTTGCTGGAAAGTTCCCATGTGAGTGTGTGTTTGTGTGTGTGTGTGTGTGTGTGTGTGTGTGTGTGTGTGTGTGTGTGTGTGTGTGTGTGTGTGTGTGTGTATGTATATATATATATATATATATATATATATATATATATATATATATATATATATATATTTCTTTTTTTTAATTCTCTATAATATAAAATGGGTGAAGAGCACAAGAGCATTCAATTTGATCTATGACTGCTAAACTATTCTGTGACTCCATGGATCTGATAACATAAAACACACATACTGTAGCACTTATACATATTTCATCACAGTGAATTCATGTAAGGAGTATTTGAGAATGTGTGTGATGCATCTTCAGTTGCAAGAGAAATCTTGGCACTATAGATGAAAAAGTATACAGACATTTGTATGACAAAATCTCCAAAGGTTGTTCTTAATAGTTTCTGCTAACAATAATACAGGAAATACAAAAGACAATTCATTACCTGGACGATTGATTACCTGGACTTTATATTCACCTCTTACTTACACACACATATGGCCGAGTCTTGTTTTCCCACAAACATTGCAAAGTGTTTTTCCTGTTAGTCTTGCCATATTTTGATACGTGTCTTGTTTACTGTTTTAATACTTTGCCCGACCATTAGCCTGTATTTTGACCAAATATTTTGGATTACCCTTATTTTCCTGTTTGCCCTCAACACCCTATAGCTTCGTGACAGTGCTCACATTTTCTCTCTGGTTATATTAATGTCTTTAAAACAACTTTATGAATCATTTTAAGTTTTGAGGACACAGAGGTTTTACCAGGTCCAATAAAAGTATAGCTACATAAACCCACACAAACACATTAATTCTCATTACAGATGCAGCTGCGCTCAGAATGAGACCTACAGCACTGAACCCTCGCTCTGAAATGCTTTAAAGCGAACTCAGTTCTCGAAGTTTGTATAGAATAGTGTACCATCAGCTGATCAAAACTTTTAATCAAGATTAATAAGTGAACTCATGTGCACCCAATATATAATGCTATAAGAAAGAGAAACCAAGGAATTAAGATCTTGACTGAAACTTTTTTCTAAATGTTGTCATCCTGGCAACAAACAGCAGTTATCTACAGTAGAATGCAATGCAATCAATCTTTTGATTATTGTCGCACACGAACTAAAGAACGAGGAGGGGTTGTCGCGAACTGAAGGGGGGGAGGGGGTGCCCTATGTGTGCACGTGCCTGTTTAGTATGATGATATATTTTCAACTGAAACAATACAACAATATGGGATTTCATTTGTGAGCTTCTCCTCATCTTTCACTCACCCATATGTGAATGAGTAAAATAAATGGTTAAAGTAAATGGATTTTGATTAAAGATTACCAAAAGAAAGTTTTTCAATGAATTAACCTTCTTTAATCTGTCAGCACAGATTAAATATTAACATTGGATTTATGTAAACAATTTTCAAGGATTTAAAGGACTAACACAGATTAATAAATACTTAAATAGATTAATTTCTTTTTTTTCATGTTAGTAAATACATGAACTAGAACCTTATTGTAAATCATTACCCCCCCACCCCCCAAAAAACTCCTTGTGAAAGAAACTTGAAAAAAAGTGAGATCAAGCTAGCTATGACAACCCTGCAATATTCCACCAATGTTTCGTTGTGAAGATACAAGAGAGGAGAAATGGAAAGTTGCTTAGATCAGTTATGGATGTTTATAATGATTGATCAGCACGGTAACTGTTTGTTCTGTGCCAGCGCACCTCTTTCAACATAAAACTTGCCAACACTGAAACAGACACCGGGAAGAGGAAAGAAAGAGAAAGAATGAGAGGGTGGATCGAGTATCGGGCGTCGTGCCATGCCACTCTCCTCAGTCGTCCCTCTGTGCCAAGTCGGAAGGCAGGGTGCCAGGCCATAAATGAATGAGTTTGCTTGGGCGCCAACTGTTTCACCCTCAGCTCCAGCGGACCATGCCCATCAGTGGCCAGGACAACAAGTCTGAGCAGATAAATGTCAAGCGTTAATGAAATCTGTACTAACAGATATAGAGAACCAGGCGACTTCTTCCTAAGTATAAAATGTAGACACATACAACAGTTAAATAATCATATTTTGAGTTTGTTGCAAAGGTAAGTAGTGTATGAAAATATATTTTATATTGAATTGCAGATTTAAAATACATACAGTATACAATAAGGGTTCATAATTTCACAGGCTGTAAACCTTTTATTCATTAAACACCCCATATAAAACCCAAGCACTGAATAAGAGTACTAATGTACTCACGCAGGTGCATGTACAGTACATTTGCAGATAGCAATAGGTTGTCGCCATCCTTGCATAATTCTTCATATGTATACAATACTTTAAGAAAAGTACATCGTAAACGTAATATACTTACGCGGTTCTTTGCAAGATGAATATCTTATTGTTACTCCCCTATTACGCATACATTATGGTATGTTCTTTTGCAATTTAAAAAAAAGTACACTGTTATTTCACTGTACTTACTTTTCATGCTTAATATCTGGTTGTTACCCCCTTATTACCCAAGCATTACAGTTTATTCCCTTATACCTAAGTAAACGCTATTTATACTTACACTATACGTACAGAAAAGTACACCGTTATTTCACTATACTTACGCGGTAATTTTCGTGATGAACATCTGGTTGTTACCCCCTTATTTCCCAAACATTACGGTTTGTTCCCTTATACCTACACATACGTTCATTATACTTACACAGTACGTACAGAAAAGTACACTGTAGTTTCACTGTACTTACGCGGTACTTTGCGGGTTGTAAAAGAAAGCGTTACCGACAATTCAAACAAATCAAAATTCACTCTTCTTGTTTTTGTATGGAAACGCAATAGTAAGGTTTTTTATAAATGATATATCCACTTCATTTTTTTGTAAAAAAAAATAATTTGCCCTAGCCATTGTTTGAGCAGTGTTAGTGCCAATAGATTAAGTGCGTTGACACATACTGCTTACAGCAATGTGAGCTCAATTTGAGGTCCTTTGTTGATCCCCAAACCCATGAAAACTTAAATTAATAGAATATTTATATTAATATAAAATCTTTGATCAAATACGCTAACATTCTCTCTTCCCCCTTAAAACGACTTTATTCACTTCTTGATGCATGGAATGCCTTTATGGTGGGGCTCTGCAGTGTGTATTTCATTAATGCCCTGCTTTTGTCCATTCATAATCGTTCAATTAGCAACCTCCAACGATCCAATCAGTTCCCAAAGGACAAAATCATGCACCGCCCTACATTTTTTTTCTCATTTCAGAATAGTTTCAATTGGATGTGTCACGAAATGGGAAAAAAGACAAGGTTAACTTCTGTTTCATTCCAAATTTAACAAACTTTAACAAAACTTAGTCTATAAATGTTTAGCGACATCCAACAGATCACATTATTATGTCTTTCTTTTCTTTTTTACTCTTTTATAACCTATTTTGGAACATTTTTATCTGTTTTAATTTTTTTTATTCTTTTAATTTTCTTGTTTATTTTTATCTTGTTTATGTAAAGCACTTTGAATTACTTATGTGTATGAAATGTGCTATATAAATAAACTTGCTTTGCTTTACATGCATTTAGTTCAATTCTGAGTGCAAAAATTTTAAGAAAAAAAAAAAAGCATTTACTTTTGTCTTTTATTCAGCGTGTATCTAACAGACAAACTTGTTCTTTTTCTTTGCTTCAGGTGACTCGATAGTTCCAAGCAACAATGTCCTGGGACAAAAGACCTGAAAATGGAGACTAACTAGAGGCAGCATTGAGCTTCAGCTAACAGGATTTATCAGTATTAGTCATATGAAGATTATCTGCAATCAGGAACAGACTGATCTCCTCCATAAACATTAGGACCATCCTAGAGTTAATGTGCCCTTCTCAATGGACCCCCTGGCCTTCCGGACGCTCGATCTTTCGAATGTGGATCAATAGACGCTGGAATGTGTTGGCTAGGGGGTCTTGATGTTCATATGCAGTTTATTTGTTTTTTACAGAAGGTTTGGATCACCTACAACAGTGCAGCCCAGTGGAGTTTAAGCTCTTCAGTAACATGCTCTCCGTCATTGTATTTCAGTTCTCCCCACAATTCCATGATTATCCCTGCTCTACCTGACCATAAGGTCCAATTATTCCTTGTGGAATCAGCATTTAAACGTCTGGACCTCTAATGGACTTATGTGTATAGTCTTTATTTCTAAATGAAAAGCTTTTCAGCCCCACAGTCTGAAACAACAGATTAGATGTACAAGTATATTCTAGATAATGTAAAAGTGTAAAAGATCAAAGTGTTATTCTCAAAAACAAGCGAAATAAAGTTTAACGGTTATCACTTTTATTATTATCAATGTTTTTATCCAGCCTGGTAACTGCTATTGAGTACACGTGTCAGTATTATATTCAATAATTAAACATGTTGAAAAGAACATTTTCTACTTACTTTGTTTTCAACCTTTTGGCACGAATGATTTTTTTATTCCTTTTTCCTCCACCAATACTGATACATGGGGAAAATAATATAATCAGGATTGTGTACAGTGCATCTGCGAAGTATTTATAGTGCTTGACTTTTTTCCACATTTTTTTTTGTTACAGCCTTATTCCAAAATGAATTAAATTCATTTGTTTTCCTTGACATTCATCTTTACCTCCTTCCTGACTAGTCTTCAAGTTCCTGCTGCTGAAAAACATCCCCATGATGCTGCCACCACCATGCTTCACTGTAGGGATGGTTTTAGCCTGGTGATGAGCAGTGCCTGGTTTTCTCCTGGCATTCACTCCAAAGAGTTCAATTTTATTCTCATCAAACCAGAGAATTTTGTTTCTTATGGTCTGAGAGTACTTTAGATGCCTTTTGGCGAATTCCAGGCAGGCTGCTACGTGGCCTTTACTAAAGAGTGGCTTCCGTCTGGCCACTCTACCAGACAGACCTGATTGGTGGATTGGTGCACAGACGGTTGTCCTTTTCTCTCCACAGAAAAACGCTGGAGCTCAGATAAAGTAACCATCGGGTTATTGATCACCTCCCTGACTAAGGCCCTTCTCCCCCAGTCACTGTGCTTAGATGGCCAGCCAGCTTTAGGAAGAGTCCTGGTGGTTCCAAACATCTTCCACTTACGGATGTTGGAGGCCGCTGTGCTCATTGAAACTTTCAGAGCAGCAGAAATTTTTCTGTATCCTTCCCCAGCCTTGTGGCTCGAGACAATCCCGTCTTGGAGGTCTACAGACAATCCCTTTGTCTTCATGCTTGGTTTGTGGTTTGACATGCACTGTCAACCCTGGGACCTTATATAGACAGGTGTAAGCCTTTTCAAATCATGTCCAATCAACTGAATTTACCACAGGTGAAATCTAATTAAGCTGCTGAAACATCTCAGGTATGATCAGTAGAAACAGAATGTACCCGAGCTCAATTTAGAGCTTCACGACAAAGGCTGTGAATACTTATGTACTTCTGATTTTTCAGGTTTTTTTTATAAATTTACAACAATTTAAAAAAATCTGTTTTTACATTGTCATTATGGGGTATTGTGTGTAGAATTTTGAGGAAATAAATGAATTTAATCCATTTTGGAATAAGGCTGTAACATATAAAAAAAGGTAGAAAAAGTCAAGCGATATCAATACTTTCCGGATTCACTGTATGTATCATGTTTTGTGACCTTTACGCTTTAAGACAAAACCGCAGTCACTCTAAATGCACACCCTCATGTTTCAGCTAAAATAGCTCTGAGGTGTAAACATATGCTATCTCTCTCACTCTCTCTCTCTCTCTCTCTCTCTCTCTCTTTCTCTCACTCTCTCACTCTCTCCTGTTCTTCCCTTTCTAACAACAGTATGCATTTTATATTTGTCTAATCGAATACTCAAATCTTCAACCCACATGCTATTTAGCTTTGAGAAAATCCCAAGAACGTCTGTGCATGTCATTAAGAGATTAGAGAAATTAGCCCAAAATAAAAATCATTAATACGAACCACAATGGCAGCACAGAGAGGTGCACAAAGAGAGAGATTTGAAAGTGAAATGATGCATAGGCAGTGTATGGAGATGCATGCTGATATCATAATACATGATATCATGAAACACACACACACACCGCACAGTGAAGCTCGCCGCAGCAGAACAGCGAGACAGTAAGTTTTAAAATTCATCGGCACAACGTGGAATAATAATAGGCGCAGCTCACTTCTAAAGCGCCTGGGATTGTTGGGCTACCTTGAATCAGTAGAAATCTAGCAAAATACAAACAGACGAACAAAGGCGCTCGCATATATTGTCAGACGCCGCTGTCTTTCTCTCACTCGCACACACCAGGAAACGACACGTCACCCTGGGATGTAGGTGTTGAGACTTGGTGCCGCTTATGCAAATACAACTTGCAGATTTAATGAAGTCTGACGGCAGAGGGAAAAGGCCAGGAGAGATACCATACACACTCTGACAGCAGCGACGAAAATAAAATGTGAGCTAGATGAATAAATAAGAAAGAAAGAAGACAAGAAAAGAAGGAAGGGGGAAAGAAGAAAGAATGGCGGTATAGTTTTGTGCATGCTGCATACATGGGCTGTATATTGTATGTGCATGTACATAATGTATGAATGCTGAAGAGTTGCATGTGTTATATTAATGAGTTGAGAGGCGATTATTTCTAGATGATGGCTGTGCATAAAATTGAGGTAATGCTGTAGGTAAAGTTTATGTTTACCTGAAGCCATTTGGATGAAAATCATTCCAAAAGTGACAGATTCCCACTCTTTCTGACTCGCAGGAATAATAGATTTCCAGTATTTCAGTTTTTTCAGCAAGTTAAAATGTTAAGCCATTAGGTGGCAAAAAGTTTTTGGGCCCTATTATACACCTGGCACAATAAAGAGGTTTTTCATGTTTTGTGACATGTAGCTTACATCAGTGGTTCCCAACAGGGGGGTCCCAGCCCACAAGGGGGCCTCAGCAAGCTCTGTGGGGGATCACATTATAGTTAAAAAAAATAGCAGTGGACAGATTGAGAACGATCATGTTGCCTTAAGGGTCGTACACACCGGGACACTTTTTGTTTGCGTTTATCGTCAACGTTTTTCCAAGATATTTTTCCAGATTCAAACCTAAGCCATTTTCACTGGCGTCGAGCAGAAAATTATGCAAAATCACTCCTTGATGTGAAGCTTTTGACACCTGCTTGGAACACAGAAGAAGAATACAGAAAGTTAACACGCTTATTGTAAAAGTTACTATCGATTCAAACACATATGGATGGTTCAAGCAGCAGCGCTCCAGCCCTAGCCATGAAGAAATGATAATCGTTTACCAGTGCAATAAGCATCTTCTTTAATGTGCACTTGTATTGACAGTTTTGTGCTTGAACACCTCCAAGTGCTGTTTACTGTAACTTCAGCAGCTCCGTGCACATGAAGAAAAGTGTCATTCTGATTGGTGGAGTAGGTTATGACGTGATGCGTCAAAACTAAAAAAAAAAAAAAAAACGAGCATTTAAAAATGACGCCTTTATGCCTGCCGTATTGGTGGTGTGCACGATCACATTGGCACTCTTTATTTATTCACGAGGTGTTAAACGTCAACAGAAAACCCAACCAAAAAGCATCCCGGTGTGCACGGACCTTTGCATGAGACCTAATAAGACATTTGCAGATGACTCATCCTCAATACCTCAAGGTGTACCCAATACAAATGGCCTACTGATGTTTTGCTTTTATACTTTACATTAGGCCATTATTTGTGCATAAACATAATATGACGTAGCGCCTATTGTTGGTGACCCGAGAGGAAATCCTCTTGCTGACACCGGACAACAGGTCATTAAACTGGGCTCAATCAGAAGCACTGCTAAAAGCTTCTATCATCCAGTTTAGTTTCTGGACAAATTGATGAACTCGCAGAGCTGGGTGCACCTCTGAATGGATCTAATGGACATGGTACCGAATGAATCTAAGGCTGTCTATCAGCCTTCCTAAAGCACATAAAGCTATTCTCTGAATGTAATCCATGTTAGCCGTTTAGCAATGAAGCTAGAGTCACCGGGCAGACAGAAGCCCTGCCCATGATGCAAATCCGCGTCTATTGTGAAGTGAGTTTGACGTGTGAATGTAGCGAGTAAACTCAAATGTTCACGCATCTACATGCAATTAGCGCAATGTATTTTTGCGTTTCACATCTATTATAAACACAGCATCAGGGTGTTGTGTTGTACGTTTCAGAAAAGTGTTCCTGTGCTTGTTCTCGAAAAGGACTAATATACAGTATACCTTTAAGTATATTTTATATAAGTATAAAAAGTATATATTTTTCTTAGTGTGAAAAGAATGTTAACTCTTTATAGTTCACTCATTGAAATACTCCTTTGACCTCCTTGACATGTTACTGAGAGTTATTATTGATTATTTAATTATATGATAATATTTTAATCAGTGTAAAATAAATTACCATATATGGTCCGTCATCTGATAAAAGGTAAAAAAAAATAAAAATAAATAAATGTTTCTCTTCTATGAAGAACCATTTGTGAAATGGACAGATTCTTGGATGTTCAATGAAAGTACAGAACTTTAATTTTACTCTTACTTTTGTGATATTGCTTCATTAATATGCATGTGACAACAGAACTTTCAACTCTTACTATTTCATAAATGATTACTTCTTTTATTAATTATAAAGGCTTTACTTTTAAAATGCAAATATTGTGGAATA